AAAAAAACGGTAGGAAGTTTTTGTTTTCTAGTCGAATTTGAAAAGTCGTTATAAGGTGAAGCTTTTATTTGAGCCAGTATAAACTTTATTTAGAAAGGTTACCCCGAGGCTTACTAGATGAAAACATGAAAAAATTTCGAAAAAATATCAATTCGAAAAAATCTACAAAAAATTGAATAGAATTTACAAAATATTTTGATTTTTTGTTATATGAAAATGTTCCATATTCGTTCGTTTCTTGCACACTGATTGGCTACTCTTTTTTATTAATTAAATTAGCAAAAAAGTTAAGACAAGACAAAGACAGATTAATGCATGCATCACATGCAATTTGAATTGCATGTGAATTTGAATTTTATTTTTTTATTTTGGTGAAGCATTATTGCAGAAACGATGATACGAAGTTCAATATGAAGAATAAATACGTGGAAAAATTGGTAGTAAAACTCAATCATTTTCTAATTTTTTTGAAGAGAACTGCAGACTGCTTTTAGAAAAGCAGTCTGCAGAATGAATACACAACGATCATTGAAAAAACCTCGTACAACCAAACCCGATTGTTTTTGAGAATTATTATTTAGTCATAGATCATTTGCAATACCCAACAAAACTTAAAGGTATAACATTGAAGCTAACAAAGTCACTAGAAAACAAATTAGCTGGACCTTGAAGACGTAGTGTAAAGAAAATCAACTCAAACTCTTCGTTTGATCTTAAACTGAAAAACAAATTACTAAAAAACTCAATGTTCTCTGTTTGATCTTCATTTTCTGGATAATTAAACTCAATCTACTACCAGCATACACAAGTTTCAAGTGCTAGAAACAAAGAGAAAATTTTTTTTTTAAATTTTCTCCCAAGCAATGCTCAACAACCATTAAATTGCAAACTTGTTCTTCAAAAAATCAGTTCAATTTGGAGCCAATTTCAAAACTTAATTGCAAACATTACAAGAGCAACTGAACTTAATAAAAGATGAAAAATATGTTGAGTAATTGTTTTTTGTCCGTATTTAGTAAATCTCTGTCAATTGCAACCTACAGAAATACATTTTGTTTCAGCTTGACTTAAGATTGTTTCATCGTTTTTTAATTTATTATTAGACATAATCTCCCATAGATAGTTTGCAAAAAAAAATTGAAAATTACTGCCGTAAAAACAAAGGTAAGAACCAAATTCAAGTCCAAAACAAAATTTACAACAAAAAAGATGCGGGATGATCAAACTAGGCTGCCAACAAGTTTCTTAGTCCTAAATTTCGTAATTCATGCGTGCAGCTTCAGTTTTCTGAGTGATTGCTTTTTTTTCATACATTCGAAGAAAGTAAGGAATATATATGCTAGGGGTGATTTTTTTATTCAGACCACAGTTTTTTTTCTCGAAAATTTTCCCTTTGGTGGATCGATCCATGGATCTTCTTGGTTCAAGAAGGAGCGCTCTCACGACTAGACTTTGCTGACGTAGAATTAGCTGCGAAACTCTAACTTATAAATTAACGTGACTAAAGCGCTGTGAAACTTTGATGCTGAAAGTTTAAGGTGCATTATTTACGCCTGGCGAATTATCCCGCATCACAAAATTGGTCGAATTTCAATTGAGGCAGGCTTATTGATTTTATCATCAATTCCATACACGATTCCTAATATTTAGCTTAAAATTCATAGTTTGTCAATATTTCATTAACCAAAAACTAGTTGAGGCCATTTTTTATGGACAGTTGAAATTTTCAGGGCTTTTCCTTGATACGAGCATAAAACTGCGATAAACATAAAGCCTCATCCAAATTTTCATATACAAAAATGTCACGACTGAGATAAAGAACTTCATTATCAGAGAGAGTTTTCTCAATTTCCTATCATTCTCCGTATTTATATTTTTTCGGGTTTAATTTGCTCATACTATTCAAAATAGTCAAATCGGCAATATTAAAATATTTGAAAAACAAGAATATGTTAAGATACTATAGTAATTTCTCAGTATTCAAAAATCACAATAAAAAAGTATCAAAATATGAAACGAAAACTTTACGAACTATTTACAAAATTCGATTAAAGTTACCTTCGACTTAAAAGCTTGTACAAGACAAAAAACAGTTAAAGCTGGAGCAAGCTGCGTTTTTTGAAGCAAATCTTTCCATTCATTTGGATTGCTTTCCGAAATGTATACATGTAGATTTGCAAAAACCTGATTGATGCTTGCCCCATAATCCCCGGGTTTTCGTTCGAAAGCTTACTTACGCTATAATTAGCAAGGTTCTTTTATGCATTTTAATTTTTTTGAGCCAATCGGTAGAGCTAGTTTTTTCAAATTCCTATTATTCTCCGTATTTGTATTTTTTCGGATTTAGTTTGATCATACCATTCAAGGGAGTCAAATCACCTATACGAAAATGTTTAAAAAACAAGAATATGTCAATATATTATAGAACTTTTTCAGTGTTCAAACTTCAAACCAAAAAAAAAAGAAAAAAAACAGGGTGGAAATATGAAACAAAAAATCTACGAAAGACTTACGAGTTTCGATTACAGTTATCTTCAAATTCAAAGCTTGTACAGGACAACAAACAGTTAAGGCTGGAGCAAGCTGCACTTTTTGAAGCAAATCTTTTCATTCATTTGGATTGCTTTCCGAAATGTATGCATGTAGATTTGCAAAAACCTGATTGATGCTTGCCCCATAATCCCCGGGTTTTCGTTCGAAAGCTTACTTACGCTATAATTAGCAAGGTTCTTTTATGCATTTTAATTTTTTTGAGCCAATCGGTAGAGCTAGTTTTTTCAAATTCCTATTATTCTCCGTATTTGTATTTTTTCGGATTTAGTTTGATCATACCATTCAAGGGAGTCAAATCGCCTATACGAAAATGTTTAAAAAACAAGAATATGTCAATATATTATAGAACTTTTTCAGTGTTCAAACTTCAAACCAAAAAAAAAGAAAAAAAACAGGGTGGAAATATGAAACAAAAAATCTACGAAAGACTTACGAGTTTCGATTACAGTTATCTTCGAATTCAAAGCTTGTACAGGACAAAAAACAGTTAAAGCTGGAGCAAGCTGCGTTTTTTGAAGCAAATCTTTTCTATTCATTTGGATTGCTTTCCGAAATGTATACATGTAGATTTGCAAAAACCTGATTGATGCTTGCCCCATAATCCCCGGGTTTTCGTTCGAAAGCTTACTTACGCTATAATTAGCAAGGTTCTTTTATGCATTTTAATTTTTTTGAGCCAATCGGTAGAGCTAGTTTTTTCAAATTCCTATTATTCTCCGTATTTGTATTTTTTCGGATTTAGTTTGATCATACCATTCAAGGGAGTCAAATCGCCTATACGAAAATGTTTAAAAAACAAGAATATGTCAATATATTATAGAACTTTTTCAGTGTTCAAACTTCAAACCAAAAAAAAAAGAAAAAAAACAGGGTGGAAATATGAAACAAAAAATCTACGAAAGACTTACGAGTTTCGATTACAGTTATCTTCGAATTCAAAGCTTGTACAGGACAACAAACAGTTAAGGCTGGAGCAAGCTGCACTTTTTGAAGCAAATCTTTTCATTCATTTGGATTGCTTTCCGAAATGTATGCATGTAGATTTGCAAAAAACTGATTGATGCTCTCCCAGTAATCCCGGGTTTTCAAAGGAAACCCCACTGACGCTATAATTTGCTAGGTTCATCTTTATGACTGTTGATTTTCTGAGCCATTCAGAAAAACCGTCTAATCCATTAAATACTTTGTAGCCCGTTGACTATTTCTCTGACCTGCAAAAAAAAGCTCCGATGTTCGTTCTCCTACACAAATTTTGCGGTGTGGACAGGGTTTTATGGTCGAGGACAGAGTTAATGGAAATTAATCTCGATATAGATCAAAAAGTGATCGCAATGCCAAGAGATTGAAATTGATGACTGTCTAGACTTCTCTTGATTTTGGTCGATGACATTCTGGACTTCTCTATCCTCGACTGTTTTTTAACTCAAACAAAAATCTAGTTTTCTCTGCGTTAGCATTTTTTTTTACAAATGAGTAAAAACAATTTTTGCTCAATATGCTGGCTTTCACTTCAACTTGCCGTATCATACAAATGACAAGTTGATATCCCCGTTTATTTCACCCAGACCAATTTTGTGATTTCACCCATCAGGATCAAAATTGGGTTTCTTCAGACCGCTGCGGCTGAAACTCAATCTTTAAAAACTTTGCAGACCAGAACATGCGGCAACTGGTGGGAAATACCCAATTTTGATCACGATAACCTGAATTATCGAAATTCGGTACTAATTCTGTATTGTAAAACAAGCGAAAACCTGAATGTTCCGACTGCCTTTTAAGGTCCATGGAGCAGTAATAACATGAAAAAATTAAATGTAAAAAGACTGCTCGTATCAGGTCAAAGGTCTATGGAGCAGAAATAAGATCAAAAAATAAATGTAACAGAAAAAATGACAACTTTTTTAATTTGAGATTTTTGTGAAAATCATCCGTCCACACGCCATATAAAATAAAAAGTAACAAATCTCCAAGTAAAAAATCTCCTAGTAACAAATCTTCTAGTAATCTCCTAGTTGTTACGCTCCTAATAACAAATCAATTATGGCAGATATGCTTCCTTGAGCCAATTTGGAACGATTTCTAAGACGGATTAAATTTCCGCTTTACGCATTAAGAGCGCGAAATATCGCGCGGTAATTTTCCCAAATTGGCCAAAATGGCAATCTTTGAACCCCCATTACTTTGCAAAAAAAATCACAGGTGAAATATCTTTTCAAATTTAAGCTCAAGCCAACAATACCTTCTGAATTATTTAAAAAATTCAGTCAAAACGTCTAGTTAAAAAGTCGAAGTTTGTCTGAAGAAAAAAAACGCACCCCGAGCATAAATATTCCGTTACTTTTTTAACGAAATTCAGCACAACTAGGACTTGTAAGCGCCTGGGTTTTGATCTTTTATCATGCGTGAAAAATTCAGTGAAGCAAAAATTTTCAAAATCGATTTCTTAATTTATTTATTACGTCAAATTAATTACTTTTAATTAAAATTAAAAATAAAATGGTTATTGATATTGTTTCAAATGTGCACTGTGTGCTCAAACAAAACTTTCTTTCACGTCCCCGTTGTGTGAAATTCCCTGTCGGTTAAGCGGATGTTGGTATCTGTTCACAAATTCATAGTTTAAACTAGCGTAGTCGTTTCCGTTTCCATGGTGGCTAACTGAGCCCGATAATCGTCCATTAGGAATCGTATTCGGACTTGTCGGAAAAAATATGTTTTCTGATTCGAGTCGCGAGGACCTCGCCTGAAGCACTGGTGACGGCGTTGACGTCCCAATTTCCTGCTGATAATGAAGTGCCAAATCTGTCATTAAACTGTGACTTTGCTGAATGATATTCAATAGCGACATGTAAATATTAGTCGTACTGTGAGCTTGCACTCGGCTTTCGGATCCGACAGAAGCGTTGCGACTCCGGTGTTGCCGGATATACTCCGACTCACGATTGGCGACGAGAGAGACACTATGCTCGTAGTCTCGTGCAGACTCGTGTCGCGTCGGAATATTCCTTCGACCTCGTACCTGCTCATAATCACTTCCACTGAAGCGTCTTCCGGAAAACCCAGAAGCGCTTAGAGTAGCGCCAAGCAGCGAAGTTGTATCTTTATGTACAAGTTTTTCTTGTCGCTTGTTATCTCCATTGTACTCAATGTTTGACATAACATTCCCTGCTTTCTTTTGCACCGCTTTTGATAACACTCTGTCTTGCGCTCTGACCGGGGATCGAACCGTGGCCTCTAGAGTTTCAGAAGAACGCAACTTCGACTCCAAAATAGGCGAATCCCCTTCGCTGCTTGAGTTTTCAGTCGAGTACAGCTCAATCGAGGAGTTTTGAGCCCACTCATTGGAAGCAGAGGCTGATTCGTCTTCGAAGCTTTCGTCTTTGCTTACAATCGGCTTAATCGGATTCTTTTCTTCAGGCTGGTCAAGGGGAATTGTTAAAAATGACGGATAATCGTACCTGGAGGGCGGCAATTTTTCCTCCAAAAATTCAATCGATGATTTTTGAAATCTAATTTTTTCTACATTTTGTCTGAAAACTTCATCCGATTGAAACTTTCGCTTTGCTGTGCCTCTATCTTTGCGGGGTTCAACTGTAGGCGTGTTTGTTGTCGAGCTTTCAGATGATGACCATGACTGTTTCTTCACGGATATTATGCTTATCGGGGATTCGACATCCAGCCCCATCTGCTCTCTTTCGGCGAAAGAATATTCGGAATAGTGAACGTCCGCTTCTGTGACCGGCGCCTGAGTAATTGTGATCATGGGCTCATCCAGCCGAATGAGTTTGTGATCTTCGTCTGGTTCGCTGTCGTCACATTCGCTACTGCTATTCTCGCTGCTGCTGCTAGCAGCCATGGGAGGTAACTCCACCATGTAGTCACAATTCTTCCTGGAGGGAATTTCGTCTTTCAGGAATACTTCTGCTGACTCAGACTCTTGCATGCTCTTAAATGGATTACAAATTTTATAAAAAAAACATTATGCGGCGCCGGATTGAAGTTTTGCACGACTGAATAATTGATACAAGCTAATTACTTTATTTGAATTACACTGAATTTTTCATGAGTTACCTTTGCAAACTCTTTTTAATGGCGTTGGTTCACTTGCATTGGCCATAAAATATTGCACCCAAAATCGAAAAATGCAAAAACCGAAACTGCAAAAATAAATTAAATGTGTTACAGAATTCACTTTTCGAGAATGTTACTTACAATAGAACATTCACT